TATACTGGATGATCTTTATAGTCTTCCACCGTGGTGTATGCCTTGTTGGATTCATTTTGCCCTTTTTCGGTCACTGGACGGACAACCAATACACAATCCAGCTTGCGAGGCTTCCTCAACAAACGCTTAAACTGCTTACTCGTGATGTACTTGGTTTCACCACTTGTAATCGAAAAATATCCTTCACTAAAGAATCCTCTCTTCGTCTTCGACAAATTCCCATTGACCGAAAACCGCTGACCACCGACGAATAATCCTGCACTTTTTGGATTGTGCGTCGTGTGCGGCTTCGCTTTCTTTTTCTTCGTAGATAACTTCAAAGACGGATTCACGACCACATTTCCACTCGGCCGTGGATTCACAGTCTCTTCGATCCAGTTTATATCTGGGTTCGTAGCCTTGAGCCATGGCATACCAAGTAGAATTATCTTGCTCCTCTGCAATCGGAAGTACCAGGAAATCGTCCACGTAAACATCAAACCCATCAATGTAGAGATGTAGTTTCACTGTTTTTCTTGGTACTGACATTTCTTGTTTATTTGCCAGCGTAATCTGTACCCTCTCTCCATGATCCACTATTTGATCGTCCAAACCTGCCTTCCGACAGAGCTCGGGGCTCACACCGTTAATTATGGCACCACTGTCAACGAAATTGGATGTTGTAATGATCAGATCGTTGGGGGAGTACTGCAGTACATTTGTAGTATGTAGTAGACAACAGTAGTCCCGTGAAAGTGTCTGTATAACCCGCGACGGTGGCTTAATAACACCACACCTGAGATATCCACGTGAACTTGGTTCATCACACACGCACATACGTAATAGCTTGTTTTTCTTTTCTCGGACAATATGCACTTCAGTTGCTGTAGTCGCTTTTTCACCACGAACACAAACATCGGACTCACAACTTCTTTAGACGACTGAGCTTGCGAGTATACCCACTAAATCGCTCGGCATTCAATGGACTTACTCATTTGACGCTTGTTTGATCTCGGCGGTCAACTCATCGTCACTTAGCACCAAACGCTCTAACAGAGCGTATATCTTTTTGTCGAGGCCATTGGAGTGGCTCGTTGCCGGTGATTTTGGTCGTTTGTCTGGAAATTTTACCCAGCAATCCTCCACTTTGTGATACCCGCGTTTACAAAACGAGTACTTCATCGTAACTCGAGGAGGCCGCTTGCCATTGTCGTTTGACTTGCGTGCAGCGTTCTTGGGGAAACTTACTTGTAAAGACGAGAAATTTCCATCTCCTTTTCCTTTCCCTTTCCCTTTGCTGGATTTGCCGACAGAATTCGTCTTCTCCTTCAAATTCCACTCAACAAACCCTTCCTGGATAGCAACATCCAAATTGGCGGGCTTCTTCCTAATAATTTCACGTTTCATGTTCACATCGGACAGCCCGTTCAGAAAAACGTCCATTGCTGTCAGTACATCCACTTGCGCAACGCGATTCAATTCACGGAACTTGCCCACATAACCTGTGTAGCCACTTGTTTGCTTGATGGTCAACAGCCTGTTGCGAATCCTGTCTGTGAAATTCTGCTCCATAAACTCCACTTTCATCGCGGCATTGGCTGCACTCCAGGTCTTACTTGTCGAGGTGTCGGTCATGTATCTCTCATACCAGATGAGAGCTTGTTTTTGCACACACTGGTTGAGTTCCTGGCACAGAAGATGATCATGAGCATAGAAGTTGTAGCCCTTCTGCGTCAAGTTACTTTCAAATCGAAAAATAAAGCTTCTCAATTTGATGCCGTCGATTTCCCCGATGAAAACCGGTAGTTTAACGTCCATTTTGCGCAGATGTAGCTCTCCTGCTGCAGGTGCACCACTACTAGCCTGGTCACTTGCTGGTGGTCTGCTCGGTGGTGTCGGTGTGGATGTCGTGGAGCCACTTGGCGTTGTAAAGAGGCCGCCACGGAATGGTGGTGGAGCTGTAGTCGCTCTTGCCACCCGCTCTGCTTCATGGGCAACCTGTTGGACTTGAGTTAATCCAGCCACTAAGTTCGCCGTACTTTGTACTAATCCAGCAACTGACTGTTTAATATCGGCGATTTCTACGCTGATACTCGCTCCCAATGGTGTTGACGGTTGCGTTCACGTTGGATGAGATCGCTCGAATTTCGTCACGCACCTCCTCCAAACTTGCTTCAAGACGGTCAATTCGTCTATTCTCGGCACTGATGCGAATCCCGTCCAGGTGTTGCCGTTCTGGTGCGGTGTCGCTGCGGAGCACACGTCGCGTTATGTTTCTCGGCTGCATCGTCACCATACAGGACGAGAAGATGGAGTTTGGTAACACTTGCGTAGAGGAAGTCTTGTTCTTAAGCTTTAACAACCTAGTTCAAACGTCCGGGGTCTTCTCCCTAGATCGCTGTAGTTATCAAAGCTGCTTGGCCAGAGCACTTGATTACTTTCTTACTGATTCCGGAATGAGCCGTTGAGCCCATTCAAACTCTAACCTTTTACAACACATGCATCCCTGCCATAAAAGTTCGAACTCAAGCGCGCCGTTGAACTGTCCTTTCGAGATGCTCGCTGGCTCGACGTTGAAACACCTGGCAGGCTCGGATCCTTTTGGTCACACGCTCACGAGCTCCAGCAGAAGCTCGTGACATTTCCCCTGTAAAAGTACGCTTGTTCGGCTGTAGTAGAGCGCTCACCGTAGCAAGCATACGTCACGGATGTGTCAATTTGCACTTGCCGAACGAGTTGAGAATATAGAAATCCTTCAAGCTCGTATGCGAACATGCTTGTTATATAATTATATTATTCTCGGTGTGATGACTACTAGATCGTCTGCGACTTACACTGGGAATACATGTTCTTAGAACTTTTAATCACATACTAAGTACGATATTTTGGATGTTGTCCGAACGTTG